GATTGGGTGGTTACAATCTGTTAGATGTGTAGATTGGGTGGTTACAATCTGTTAGATGTGTAGATTGGATGGTTACAATATGTTAGATGTGTAGATTGGGTGGTTACAATCTGTTAGATGTGGTAGATTGGGTGGTTACAATATGTTAGATGTGGTAGATTGGATGGTTACAATATGTTAGATGTGTAGATTGGGTGGTTACAATCTGTTAGATGTGGTAGATTGGGTGGTTACAATCTGTTAGATGTGGTAGATTGGGTGGTTACAATCTGTTAGATGTGGTAGATTGGGTGGTTACAATATGTTAGATGTGTAGATTGGGTGGTTACAATCTGTTAGATGTGGTAGATTGGGTGGTTACAATCTGTTAGATGTGGTAGATTGGGTGGTTACAATATGTTAGATGTGGTAGACTGGGTGGTTACAATCTGTTAGATGTGTAGATTGTGTGGTTACAATCTGTTAGATGTGTAGATTGGATGGTTACAATCTGTTAGATGTGGTAGATTGGGTGGTTACAATCTGTTAGATGTGTAGATTGGGGGGTTACAATCTGCTAGATGTGGTAGATTGGATGGTTACAATATGTTAGATGTGGTAGGCTGGGTGGTTACAATCTGTTAGATGTGTAGATTGGGTGGTTACAATATGTTAGATGTGTAGATTGGGTGGTTACAATCTGTTAGATGTGGTAGATTGGGTGGTTACAATCTGTTAGATGTGGTAGATTGGGTGGTTACAATCTGTTAGATGTGTAGATTGGGTGGTTACAATCTGTTAGATGTGGTAGATTGGGTGGTTACAATCTGTTAGATATGTAGATTGGGTGGTTACAATATGTTAGATGTGTAGATTGGGTGGTTACAATCTGTTAAATGTGTAGATTGGGTGGTTACAATATGTTAGATGTGTAGATTGGATGGTTACAATCTGTTAGATGTGTAGATTGGGTGGTTACAATCTGTTAGATGTGTAGATTGGGTGGTTACAATCTGTTAGATGTGTAGATTGGGTGGTTACAATCTGTTAGATGTGTAGATTGGGTGGTTACAATCTGTTAGATGTGTAGATTGGGTGGTTACAATCTGTTAGATGTGTAGATTGGGTGGTTACAATCTGTTAGATGTGGTAGATTGGGTGGTTACAATCTGTTAGCTGTGTAGATTGGGTGGTTACAATCTGTTAGCTGTGTAGATTGGGTGGTTACAATCTGTTAGATGTGGTAGATTAGGTGGTTACAATATGTTAGATGTGGTAGATTGGGTGGTTACAATCTGTTAGATGTGGTAGATTGGGTGGTTACAATATGTTAGATGTGTAGACTGGGTGGTTACAATCTGTTAGATGTGGTAGATTGGGTGGTTACAATCTGTTAGATGTGTAGATTGGGTGGTTACAATCTGTTAGATGTGGTAGATTGGGTGGTTACAATCTGTTAGATGTGGTAGATTGGGTGGTTACAATCTGTTAGATGTGGGTTTTTTTTAAAGATTCCCATATGCGTTGCTTCTTTAACCATACCTGCTATTCATCGAAAATATAGGTCAAATAGTTATACTTGGAAATGGAAAGATTTAAAAGTAAAAATAAAAGATGAAAAAGTAAATATAACTTGTACGTGAAATCATATAAAACTAAATACATTAATATGTATTTAATCTTAAAGCTTGTATAAACATGGAGAGCTTTAAACAAAAGAATTTAAAAACATAATATCCTTTGCTATCGATCTAAATCTGTTGGTTACAGACCAACCCTTAACCGTCAACGCTGATTCTGTTATTTTTTTTTATAACGGACAAAATTGTATGGAACAGCAAAGTGTGTACAATATTTCATCTTTACGATCTTTCATATCATGTTTTCCATCACTCTTCCCGCCATGTTATTTCTGCCTCACGGAACCTTTAGCAGCATCAGTTGTTGATTGTTTTTCTCTCTAGAAGTGGCTGATGTTTCAAAAAATTTATGTCATATTTCTTCTATTTTTTTTCCTTCTGAAAATCTTCTACTCATTTTGATTATCATTATTTATCATATAAGCCGTTAAGAAGTGTGTCGGTCTCTAATCGTTATAGGCACTTTGTCTTCGTTAAAACTGAAGAATGTCAAATTTTTACTTTCTCGTATATACGTAGTATAGAGAAAGTATTGTAATCGTGCAAAAAAAAAAAATCGAGATTTTTACAAATCTCGACGTTTTACACCTCACTGATACGGAAAAACATAATTTTGCAATCTTGTCCGTATGTCTGTGTGTGTGTGTGTCTGTCTGTCTGTCTGTCTGTCCGTGTGTAAACACGATAACTTGAGTACCGTTACAGCTAGGTTGATGAAATTTCATATATAAGTATTTTATCAAAATCGTAGATCCGTATCAACTTTTGAGCGATTTCCGATAACCGGAAGTGGTACTTTTCCTACTTTGAATTTTTCAAAAGCCTATAACTTGAGTACTATTTCAGATAGATAAATGAAATTTCACATGTAAGTAAAAGATCTAATTCTCTACCTTCTGTTAAATTTTGAGTAATTTCCGTTGACTGGAAGTAGTAATTTACGCTACTTCCGATTTCTCAAAAAACTAATGTAAATTTTTAAAGTACTAATAATATTGCGCACTATTATACGCGTTTTTATTCGGCGTTTGCTTGGTGCGCAATGTTTTTTTTATGAGATTCTATTCTATTTTTAAAAGTTTAAGTATTTAAAATGGATTAAAAATCATAACTATATCCCCAGTTACCATCCCCTGTTGTTTTATATAAGAATATTCGAGAAAGTTTAGGGGAGATCACTCCCGGTTTATTTTCTCATAGAATTCTCATGGTTTTTTGTCGTCAATCACACACCTACCATCCGTGTAGGAACAATTTATTATATTTTATTTATTCCCTATATGTAGACATCACGTTGAAATATATACTACAATTTTAAAGATGCAGCACCAATAAACCTAACATAGAGAACAGTGATATCCTTAAGATCACTAAGTATTGTGTGTTTTTTTTTTAAATTCCTGCCGATTTCGCTGTTAGTGCGATTGTCAAATTAGATTGAAGGTCATGAATAAATCTTTTTTCAAAATAAACCGGGAGTGATCTCCCCTAAACTTTCTCGAATATTCTTATATAAAACAACAGGGGATGGGAACTCGGGCTATAAACATGATTTTTAATCCATTTTAAATACTTAAAGTTTTAAAAATAGAATAAAATCTCGTAGACAAAAGAATTACACACCAAGTGAACGTAAAATAAAAAAGTGCATAATAGTGCGCAATATTATTAGTACTTTAAAAATTTACATTAGTTTTTTGAGAAATCGGAAGTAGCGTAAATTACTACTTCCGGTCAACAGAAATTACTCAAAATTTAACAGAAGGTAGAAAATTAGATCTTTTACTCACATGTGAAATTTCATTTATCTATCTGAAATAGTACTCAAGTTATAGGCTTTTGAAAAATTCAAAGGAGAAAAAAAAACCACTTCCGGTTATCGGAAATCGCTCAAAAGTTGATACGGATCTACGATTTTGATAAAATACTTTAATATGAAATTTCATCAACCTAGCTGTAACGGTACTCAAGTAATCGTGTTTACACACAGACAGACACACAGACAGACACACAGACATACGGACAGAATTGCATAGCCTAGTTTTTCAGACTGGATTACGCATAAAACCTCTTAATTTTGATAAATCTGGATTGATAATTTTTGCCCGATTAAAATAAGTCCTCTATACTTCGGATATGATGAAGGACTGAGGTGTAATACGATGAAAATTGTTAAAATTTCAAGTGATTTTTGTGCACGATTACAATACTTTCTCTATAGGCCTACTTCGTATATACGAGAAAGTAAAAACACGATTTTGTTTGTGAAAGGGGAGATAATCCTAGGTAAATGTCAAACCGTGTTCATCGGATTGGATTAACCGCAATACATTAATTACGGCATGACATATAACTTTACTATAAAAATAAGGTGTTGTTTAGTTTATAAATTTGCACCACGCAGTTGAAGGAACTCAAGAACTCGAGAATGTGAATGCCTCAAGTCTAACACATGCAGTACAGTCATGTTGGTAGCGAGGTGTCCTCCATAAAGTAGCCTAACATTGTAGTATTACACGCTGTAGCTAATTACGGGTAGAATCTATGCAGCTCGTTACGTTAGAGTTAGAAACAGCTTTACTTTGTTTAGTTTTCTAGATAGAGGTAGGCATTGTCCAGGGAGTAGTTATAATTATTGTTGGAGGTTTTAGTTTTCGAAGAGAGTATTTGAGTAATTGACAGAGTTTAATTGTATTTTAACATGATGTGATTCATATGCAATACGATGTATTGCTGGTTTTCCTATTTGTAATGGTAATGGTATCATGAGGTGATTCAAGTCCAGTTTTAGGCTTCAATTTTTTAATTATATTTTCACACGTATAAGCTTACTGTTTTAAACATCGCATTGGTCATCGATCCTAAGGACAAGATCTTGAAATAAACATGAATTTATTTTCATAGGAGCATTTCTTCAAAACACAATATAATGAGGTAGCCAGTCCCCACCCCCCCCCCGAGTTTCTTCCAGGCATCTCTTCGGGGGGGGGGGGGGGGGGCTCACACCCCCCCCCCCCCCCCCCGACATTTTTTTACCGCCCCCCCCCCCCCCCCCCCCCGAACGAAATGAAATTTATATAATTTATATAGAAAATATATACTTTTAACAGTGTCCCCCGTCCCCCCCCCCCGAAGAAAGTCTACTGCCCCCCGAAAATTTATAGTGCCCTCCCAGAGAAAAAAGTCTGGAATAAACACTGGTCACCCCATGTAGTATGTAGGCAATTGACCTGGAACAGTATATAATTTTAACTAACTTGAACATCACAAATTGTGGTTTTATGTAATAATAAACAAACTAGTTAGATAAACAATTATTTTTTAAAAGTATTTCAAATTTTTTTTTATAGTAGTTGACTAATTTATCATTTTTTTTTGCAGATAAATGACTCAAACATGCATAAATCAAAATTTCATTTTGTCCTTCCCTTTTTGGTAAGTCGTAGAACTACCCTATAGGTCTAGAGTTTATGAGAGAATGTTGGCTGCTAGACAAACTGGTTAATTTTTATAAACTAATTAGCCTACTTTTTATTTATTTTAAGCCATTTAATATGTGTGGGCCTCCACATCAAGCCTTTGATTCACCTTCAGACTAGGACAGAAACAAACATTAAGAGAAAACAACATTTTATGAGCCTATATTAGGCCTATAATGAAAATTTAAAATATGCAAAAAAATGGTTAAATTTAGATAGGCCTCTATTTTTTCCAAAATTATTCTTTCAAAAGTCCTGTGTGTTCTTTCTTTCCTCCTCTCCTCCTCCCCCCCCCCCTCCCCTTGCCCCCCCCCCCCCCCCATTTTACTGGCAAATCTGTCCATGGTCAAAACGTGGATTAATTTTATATATATATATATATATATATATATATATATATATATATATATATATATATATATATATATATATTTATGAATGACATTTCTTGAACAGAGTATGAAGTCGATTCATCTCCACTCCTATGTGACTGGGGGCGTCAATATCACAGGGTTTGAGCTGTTCAAGGAAGGAAAAGTTTCCTATTTCAGGAAAGACAATATCAAACCTGTCAAGGTAGGCCTGTGTGTACAAATAGACAGCTGCATTAAAATTAAAGAGTGGGCCTATAGTGCTGTTGTGAAACAGAAATTTATCTAAGAATTCTTAAAGTTAAAGGTTATATTACAAGTGTTGAAAATGTTAGGTTAATATAGAGTTGTATAAGAGGTTTTTGTTGTAAAATCCATAGCTTGCTACTGCAATGAAATAAATTTTATAAAATGCTACTTTCTCACTTTTTAGTCTGTAAGTAATTTTATATTTAGTTTAGTTAAGTTTCATAGGCTTAATTATATCCAACCTGGACTTAATAAATGTTTAATATGTTGTGATGGTTTTATAGTTTGGGTAACTACTCATGTAAAGTAAGGTTTGTTTCAAGTTTTGTATAAAAAATATTGTGGGTGTGGGTTATTAACTCTGGTAATACCTTTTGTCACATTCTGTCAAACTCTACACCACTCAATTATCTTTCCCCTGATTAGTTCATTTGTTTAACCTTTTTTCTCTCATTATTTCCCCTTGTTTGTGGACAGATTTATGAGCAGCTCTCTGCCGACACCTTAAATCTACTGCTGCACAGTTTTGCTACACTACAGAGCCGCCAGGGTTCCATCTCAGTTTTTGCCGATGTTGTTGGTTGGCAAAACAGCCAGAACACTTGCTCTCCCCAGCTTGGTGGAAAGTGGAAATACGGATCTACTCTAGCTCAAGTCTTTCAGAATGTCAGATTTTACAACAACAAAAATATTTTAAAAACAAAAATAATTTTAAAACCATGTATAGCCAAGAACCCACCTTTGAACCACTGAAAACTTTAAAAAAAAAGTTTTGCTTCCCTTTTCAGACTAACATGACAGGAAGGAGTGGTATCATTCACTTTCAGCCCAATGGACAGAGGCGAGACTTCAGTGTTGATGTGCAAGAAGTGACTATGTACAGAGGCATCACCACTGTAAGTTATCTTGTGACTAGTTGTAACATTAATACAAGATTCTTTATTTGAAAAAAATGTTTAAAATGAGTTTACTAAATTTATATTTATTTATTTGAACTTGTGTTATTTGTTAAGTTAGGAACATGGGACTTTAAAGTTGGCTTTAGAGTTCATGGAGAAGAGCAAGTTTTAGACAAAGCAAATAGAACAATAGACAACAGAACAAGAATAGTCACCTCTGTTGAGGTACGTTCTAGAACAGCTGGTAATTTAGCCCATACAATTCTCTTAAGTAAAAAAAAATTGAATTTTATGTTTCACTAAATTTTAAATACATATTTTAATATTGGTTTCTTTAGGAAGAGCCTTATTTAATGCCTGCGACTGAGATCTTTGGTGGAATACCCTTAGTTGGACGCTTTAGATTTGTGGGATACTGTTCTGACCTGGCAGAGATGGTGTCACGTAATGTTGGATACGATTATCACATCCGATTTGTGCGTGACAAACAGTATGGGAAGAAGAGGGATGATGGAACATGGAATGGAGTAATAGGAGAGTTGATAAAACATGTTAGTTGTCGTTATTTTCAATTGAGGCTTATTGCGGCCAATGATAGAATGGTCTCGTATTTTATGTTATAGAAACTCATATAATCTTGCATAGAAACATTCAACTAAGTCTACACATCTTTAAAAAAAGTTGATTAGATTCTCTGACACCCTATTATTGAAGATATCTTAAGTTATTACAATTGTAATAATATTTATTATAAGCAGTTCAACTTACTTTCCATTTCTTCAAGGAAGCTGATATTGCCATAGCACCACTAACAATCACTTCTGATCGTGAAAAAGTTTTGGATTTTACTAAACCATTTATGAGTTTAGGAATTTCTTTAATGATAAAAAAGCCAGCAGACACAGACCCACACGTTTTCTCTTTTATGGCACCATTGTCACAAGAAATCTGGCTGTGCACGGTCAGCAGTTTTCTCTTCTGATTTAGATTTTTTTAATTTGCTATTCAATATCCACGATTTTTATAATTAAACTCTATTTGCAGAAATAAACAATAGTTCTTAACTGTTTTATAGTAATCTAATAATGGTAGTTATGGATTATTATTTGAAAATGGTATTGAAATCATTAAATTCTTTACATAACTTTTCTCACTCATTAATACAAATATTATTTGTTTCTTCTAGATATTTGCCTTTATTGGTGTTAGTGTTGTTTTGTTTCTGGTCAGTCGATTTAGTTCAGAAGAATGGCAAGTTGATGCTGACTCAAAATTGGAAAATGATTTCACCATTGGAAACAGTTTGTGGTTTTCACTTGGTGCCTTTATGCAACAAGGCTGTGATGTTTTGCCAAAGTAATTCTCAAATTATCTCAAGCTCAATTAGAAATCTTCAGACAAAAATGTTTAGAATGGTCATTAAGTTTAATATATTGGCTATTTATGCGGTTCATTGAGTCTAATTAGCCCCAGTTTAATTAGCCCCCAATGTTACTGTTAGCTTGTTTTGATAGTAGCCTTTAATAAATTTAATTCAATTTCCTATTTTTTTAAAAATTAGGTCAGTATCAGGTCGGATTGTTACAAGTGTCTGGTGGTTTTTTACACTGATCATCATCTCCTCATACACAGCCAACTTGGCAGCTTTCCTAACCACCATGAGGATGAGTGGGAGTATTAGATCAGCTGAGGATTTGGTCAAGCAAACTGAGATTAAATATGGACCCTATAAAAATGGAAGCACCTACATGTTTTTTAATGTAAAGCAATACTTTTTATGACATTGAAAACCCAATATTACTATACTATTCAATCACTCAAGTTTTGTTAATCTTATTTTTCAACTTATTTCTCTAAAGCAAACTACAGTTTCATTATATCAACGAATGTGGTCATTCATGAACTCACAGCAAGATGTATTTGTTAACAATAATGAAGAAGGCATAGAAAGAGTGCGCAAAAGTAATGGACAATATGTTTTCCTTATTGAGTCAACTCTTAATGAATATTATAATTCAAGGTAAATAATATTTAAATCTGTCAGTTTTAAAAAGGTAATTAGCAGCATAATTTATTTTATGCTTTACTGAAGGATTTTAATTTAAACATCAATTTAATGTCAAAAAGATTGAAAATTGAATAAACATCTATTTATTTCTATTTAACTATTCATAAACCTATAAAATTAAAACATTCATTACAATCTAAAACTATTATTTGTGTCAATCCATATGAACTTCATGAGCATAAGTAAATCATTATTCTTAGGAAGAAATTTAAAATTATATTTAATATAACTTGATTTAGTCCTACCTTCTTTTTTACTGATCAGCAAATATAATTTCATAGAATATTGAAGCTGTGGTTACGGTTGCTATTCTATTGTTTTAGATTACCTTGTGACACAATGAAGGCTGGGAACAACTTGGATTCTAAAGGCTATGGCATAGCAACCCCAATGGGCTCAGACATAAGGTGCCATGGTTTCATGTTATTTGTTTATTTGTATTCATGTTCTATTAGCTAAATAACAAGGGTTGCTTTTTAATGTACTTAGGTACTGAAAACAATTTTTTTTAAAATTCACTATTCACTATTTAGAAATAAAGTGTAATAAATATTTTTATCCATGAACAGTAACTGAAATAATTATTAAGGTAATTGTATTATTAACATTGATTTAAATCCATAAAAAGTTACTGAAATGATTATTTATATAATTTTATTATCAATATTTTATTTCAATTATTCTAGAGATAAGCTCACTCTAAGTATACTTCAGTTAAGAGAAGATGGAGTTCTTGATGAACTTAAAAAGAAATGGTGGATTGAAAAATCACAATGTCCATTAGAAACTGTATCAAAGGTAAATATTAAAATTTCTGACTCATGCGGACTGTAGGTTTACTCTTTCTCTTATTTTAGTTTGAAAGCATAAAGTATGTGTACATGTGATAACCTACAACTTGGTCTACTGTTCAAATTGTAGGCTACGTCTAGTTCTATATAACAATAACCACTCTGTCAACATAATGTCATGTGGGGAATGGAATACTGTCATACACAGTGTGGGAATAGGTGTAATTATATAGTCTAATTTATTTTTATAGTAGTTCATATTAAGGGTAGAGCTTCTTTCAGAAATCTTTGATACTTCTAGGATTAGAGGCGCAATTATAAAATGATTACATTTTATATTGTTACTATTTTCTTGTCATTCCTCCTCCATGCAAGGAGAGATGACTGATAAAAAACACTGATTTTATGATTTTTATCAAAAGAAGCAGAATGGTTTAGAAAACATGTAAAGATCAGCTAGTAACGTTTTACGTTTGATTACTTAAAAACGCGTAAATATATCTAGATGCTCATTTTTTTCTCATGGAATGTTTAACAGGACCCTGATGCATCTCTAACACTCTCCAAAGTGGCTGGAATCTTCTACATTTTGGTGGCTGGACTAGCTTTGTCTGTTATTTCTGTAATACTTGAATTTCTTTATAAAACTAAAGTGGATTCAAGAAAACAGAATGTATGTCAACTTGCTTCAAATTATAAAATATATTAAAACTAGATAATGATTGTTAGCAATATATTGTGTCAATACATCAATGAAGAATTAGTAGGTTAACTTAATATATAATAAAAATAAATATGGTGTTGTTATATAGTTATATCATATAAACAAACATTTGAATTAAGTTCATTCTTCAGATATAATGTAATCAATCATTATCCACAGATTTCATTTGGATCTGAAGCTAGATCAAAATTTCGCCTTTCTATAAGTGGTCATTCTGAAGATGACCCCAATGAACAAAGGACACCTTTAAAATCATCAACTTCAGTATGTACAAACTAATCATGCTATTAATGTCATTTTATACTGAAACGCGTAAGGACAATTTTAAAAATATATTATAAAAATGGCACCCCGTCAAAAGAGCGCACGATATAAGAGCGCCGACATAAGAGCGCACTAATTTCCCGACAAAAGAGCGCCGACATAAGAGCGCAAACTAAAAATCGAAAAACCATATTTAATAAATAAAAAAAGAAAATTAACTTAGATCAGAAGGCATCGTTTGATGTTAACTCTTTATTGTTTCATTAAAAAACTAATTGTTCAGTTTCTTTAACTAAAAAACTGGTACAATCAACGTGAAGTCCAATTATTCAAAACTCAATCTAATAACACATACAAAGATTTTAAATGTTAGGCCTAAAGTGAGAATATAAACTGAAATGAAATGTAACAAAATAAAAATAAGTTCCATTAGCATTTGCTCTGTCCTGTCTATATCTGTAGCCTTCGACCAATATAATAACCTTCCCTTTCTGTGATTCGATCTTGTCCATGTTACTTGGATTAGAAATATTGTCAAACTGCATTCATAACATATTAACCATAATATATAAATAAAGACGTGTTAACCATGTCCTATTCGTTTAGCGTACAACATGTGTTTTTTATATGACTGCGCTCTTATGTCGGCGCTCTTTTGTCGTGCGCTCTTTTGTCGTGCGCTCTTTTGACGGGTCACCTATAAAAATACAATAACTTAATAGTCAAGTGGAAAAATGTCATTAAAAAAAAATTTCTTATGTTTTTTGTTTCAGTTTGCCATGCCACAGGTTTCTCTTGATAGCAAGACATCTTTATATAAAACACAAACTCTAGTCTAGAAGCTTTCACCAGAAACACAAGGAAAGCTAGATGGTTGTGATAAGCTTTGAACTCAGTATTTTACTAATGTATGTTCTTATTTCTTTATGCATTTAACTTTAGTTTTTTAAATAATTGTAGTATTTCATATTAATTAAGTGTAAGTTTAACAATTATTTTTTAATTCTGAAAAAATTTACTTCTATTATCAATAGTATTTTCTTACTTTAACTGGTACATAATCTAGGGGACATAACTATGCAACTTTATTTGTATTTATGAATAAAAACATGCCCCTTCCCCAAAAGGTGAAAATTTAAAAAATGAAGCAATCCACAAAATGTGCAATGAATATAATGTGTTTTAGTTTCTAGTAAAGCATGTTAACATTTTTGCCATTAAAATTTAATTGCAAATTACTGCAAAGCTGTTAATAACAAGTTATGCATTTTTAAAAAATAAGCTATGTAATGGTCTATAATGAGAGTTTTTTTTTGGTTTCTTTCAGTCATTTGAGTAAGCCAACATCAGTTTATTATTAAACCTCAAATAAACTGGAAAAACTAAATTATTGCAGATGTTTCTTAAACAAAAGTAAATTTTATTATTAAGAGTGTTTTCAATAGAATGATATAGAAGAACAATGAATTAGAATGTGGAGAGAGGAACTATAGGCTTTTTGTCAAAGTTTAAATAAATACAATATTCAAGTCATGCTGTTTCCAGATAACTAACATTACACTACGAAAGAAAATATCTGAAGATTTTCTTTTAACTGGTTTCTATGGCGCAGGGAAAAAACTAGTTGGAGACAAATACTGGTATCTAAAATATATTATTCACACTCAAACTCACTTTTATTCTATTAAACAAAGTGCTATAATTATATGAAGTTTTCAGTGAAATATGACTTTATTGTATCGGTTAGAACATTGTTTAAGGTATCTCTTTAATAAAACTATTTTTCTGCACTTGTTTTAATATTTCTGCTTTTTATTGTTGCATTTTGCATTATGATGCAGTTTTACTATGGTTGCATTATGTTAAGTGCACTATTCTGTGCATATTTCATGTGTATATTTAAATTAATTTCTCAATTTAAATTTGTAATTTCTTCAGTTTTTTTTAAATTAGAGTACATTATTTACAAAATGAACTGATGAAAATATCAAGATAAACACTCATTTATTAGATAAAGTTACAGGAAATAATTGATTTAACAACATTTTTTTTTTTAAATACACGAACAGCTGTCATGGTCAGCGTATTTTACTAACAGCTGCCATGGTCAGTGTATTTTAAGCTGCCGTGGTCAGTGTATTTTACTAACAGCTGCCATGGTCAGTGTATTTTAAGCTGTCATGGTCAGTGTATTTTACTAACACAATTTACTAATTGGATTACATTCACAGAAATAACACTGTGACATACAATAACTACAACTGTTTACAAATAAGACCTATTTAAAACAATACACCATTACCAAAAGTTGCTTAGATTTACTTTACACTGTGATCTTTCAGACACCCATGTTCACCATTTTAGAGAACAGCCTAAATTAACCTGATGTTTCATTTCCTCATTATGTTCATCATGTTCATCTTTACAATGCTAAATCAATATTTTTTTTTCTGTATAACGTCTGTCAGGTAGGCATACAATCATTTATGAGAGATTTCATTATCCCCCCCACAGCGATTGTAGATTCCCAAGTTCATTAGCAGTTTGGTAATTAATTCATTTAATTAAAAATAAGTTTTTATTTTATTTATTTTTTGTATTTTAACTTCCACATGTGATTACTTTGTTAAAAGCATTACATCAATTGGTACATTGTAGAGCCTTAGAGACCTAATTTTTTTTTTATAAACTCAAGTCTATTGTACATTGTACTGAGACTTGACTTGTATATTTTGTACAATCTGGAATTTATAGAGATGTTTAAAGTCACTGCATTGACATGCCAAGATAAAATATGGTTTACATTGTGTTATCAGCTAAAGAAAAAATAATTCAGCAAAGTTTTCACTGATGGTATTCAGCTTTGTGGATGTATGTAGAGAATGTAGCAAGCTCTGAAGGATAGTGTTTATCTTGACGTGGGTCATGAAACAGTCATGAAGTTTGGTGAAGATTGGGTCAACATTTTGTTACCTTATGTGGGTGAAGAGGTTAGTAATTAGAGGTTATTTAAGTAAAAATTTAAAAAATCGTGGGGGACGGAGTGGTCTAGCGAGAGCTAACCTGTTAGTCTCGAGTTCGAATCCGGGTTCAAGTCAGTAGACCGTCCCTGAGTCCACCCAACTCTGATGGGTACCTAAATCACGTTAGGGTAAGGAAAGGCGGCTGGGCATAGTGCTGACCACACTATTTCTTCATATGCTGAGGTCACAGAAACATGTGAACTCTACTTCACTTGCCATATAGACCGTCAGGTTTGAAAAGGGAACTTCGCTTGTTTTTTTACAAAAAACTTATAGAGCTATGCTAGAGTTTTGTAATGCTATTGTAGATTGTGATGGGGGGGGGGGCGCTGGCTTTATGTGTGAAGTGATGAACGGAAGGAATAAAGCTAAATAAAAAGGTTTCTTATAAAGAGATGTTTAAACATTTTTCTAAATAAGAATACACGGATAGTCAGTAAACGTTACAAAAACATCGATAATATGTATATAGTTTAATACTGCCATGATAATTCACCTTTCCTTGAATTATAATACCGAAATTAATATTTTTTATACTCAGTGCTGTTTAATTGTTTTGTGTGTCCCGTTAAGTGTTTCCATTTTTTGCATTTTCAATAATCACACAATGTCCAATTTTTCCTGCACTTTCTTGTGTTCTAAAGATAATAATGTTAGATTCTTGTTATTCATAGTATAAGAGCTATGAAATTTGTTGCTAACATTTGTCATGTCTTGGGGAAAATTGATTGAAGTTATTCAACATATAGATGTCAGTTTTTCTTAAGCTTTATGAATAAACAAAATAATGAAAATATTGAGGTTTATTTTACAGTGTGTATTTTTTTTTTTAAAATAAGGCCTACATATCTCTATACGTCGAAAAAAAAAATAACTTGAATAGTTTGCGGTAAACTCACACTGGCGAGGAGAAAGAGAGAAAGATATATATATATATATATATATATATATATATATATATATATATATATATATATATAGAGGGCAGAGTTTCTTCCAGGCATCTCTTCGGGGGGGGGGGGAGGGCGAAAAAAGTCTACCGCCCCCCCCCCCTCCCCGAACGAATTGAAATTTATATAGAAAATATATACTTTTAACAGTGTCCTTAACAGTGTCCCGCCCCCCCCCCCCCCCATCCCGATAATTTCAAGTGCCCCCCTGGAGAAAAAAAGTCTGGAAGGAACACTGAGAGAGATATAGAGAGGGGGTGGGGAGGGAGCGAGAGAAAAGAATAGTCGTGAGAGAAGACGTCAGGTTAAGTTTTATGAATAAATAAAATAATGAACATATTGAGGTTTATTTTAGAGTGTGTATTTTAAAAACATAAGGCCTACATATCACTATACGTCGAAAACAACTTGAATAGTTCGCGGCATATCCGTCATTTTTTGGGCTCCACTTGTAGACCTAAACTTTTCACTGACATGTAGGGTGCGCCAATTTGTAACGAAACAGCTGACTAATGTCTGACATGTAGGATGTGATGCTGTTTGGAAACAGCTGATTAATGTCTGACATGTAGGCTGTGATGCTGTTTGTAACGAAACAGCTGATTAATGTCTGACATGTAGGATGTGATGCTGTTTGTAACGAAACAGCTGACTAATGTCTGACATGTAGGCTGTGATGCTGTTTGTAACGAAACAGCTGGCTAATGTCTGACATGTAGGATGTGATGCTGTTTGTAACGAAACAGCTGAGTGATGTTTTTATAGCTTGGGGTGACACTTCCCCTTCACAAACCAACCACTATTTTATTGCGCTATTTTTGTGTCCTAAATAAATTCGTTTTAGATTAGCGAGAATACGTTTCAGAAAAAAACAACACGTGAAATGTCAGATTAAATGAGTGCGCACACCAGACCGACGCCGTGCAACAACTGCCGAGAAGTGACAGTCAGACATGGAAGGGCACAGCGCTGATTGTACGGGTATTTCGCGACAACCTGCTCACACGGTTAAAGCCAGTGAAAATGTGTTCAAATCTTCGGGAAATAAAGCGCAAGAAATCGATTGTCAAACAACTCATACGTGTCTAACTAGGCTAGGAATCAAAGGTCAGTGTAGTCAATAGATCACTGAAAACATAAGTTTAGAACCAAGCTAAACACTTTTATAATTAGACATTTTTACTTTCTCGTATACGAAGTATAGAGAAAGTCTTGTAATCGTGCAAAAATAAATAAATCGAGATGATTGCAAATCTCGACGTTTTACACATCCCTGAGTCGGAAAAACATAGTTTTGCAATCTTGTCCGTATGTCTGTGTGTATATGTATGTGTGTGTATGTGTGAACACGATAACCTGAGTGCCGTTACAGCTAGGTTGATTAAATTTCATATACAAGTATTATATCAAATTTGTAGTTCTGTATCAGCTTTTTAGCGATTTCCGGTAACCGGAAAGCGGCACTTATGCTACTTTGAAATTTTCACCTTAAGTACTGTTTCAGATAGATAAATGTAATTTCTCATGCAAGTAAAAGAACTAATTCTCTGCCATCTGTCAAATTTTGAGCAATTTCTCTTTGACCGGAAGTAGTAATTTACACTATTTCCGATTTCTCAAAAAACGCATGCACATTTATTGAGTACTAATAATATTCCGCACTATTATACACATTTCATTTGGCGTTCACTTGGTGTGCGATTCTTTTTTGTACGAGATTCTATTCTGTTTCAAAAAGTTTAAGCAATTAGAAATGGATTAAAAATCATGTCTATATCCCGAGTTGCCTTCCCCCGTAGTGTTATATAAGAATATTCGAGAAAGTTTAGGGGAGATCACTCCCGGTTTATTGGAACAATAACAAATAATTTTACACGTTTTTAAATAAGGTTTTTAGATGATCCAGTCTATTATGATACAACTGCTTTAACCCAGCCCACCCCTCCCCGACGTTAAACCGTTTCCATAGACCATCACAATTACATGACCACCCCCCCTCCCAACTCTAACCCATACACACACCCATGACCATACACACGCTACACTACAAATCAGTACCACCAAATTTATGATGTTGTTGGGGTTTAGTTAAGTTTATGATGTTGTTGGGGCTAGCTAAATTTATGATGTTGTTGAGGCTAGCTAAATTTATGATGTTGTTGGGGTTTAGTTAAGTTTATGATGCTGTTGCGCTAGCTAAATTTATGATGTTGTTGGGGTTTAGTTTAGTTTATGATGTTGTTGCGGCTAGTTAAATTTATGATGTTGTTGCGGCTAGTTAAATTTATGATGTTGTTGCGGCTAGTTAAATTTATGATGTTGTTGGGGTTTAGTTAAGTTTATGATGCTGTTGCGCTAGCTAAATTTATGATGTTGTTGCGGCTAGTTAAATTTATGATGTTGTTGGGGTTTAGTTAAGTTTATGATGTTGTTGCTGTTAGTTAAATTTATGATGTTGTTGGGGTTTAGTTAAGTTTATGATGCTGTTGCTCTAGCTAAATTTATGACGTTGTTGGGGTTTAGTTAAGTTTATGATGTTGTTGGGTTTAGTTAAGTTTATGATGCTGTTGCGGCTAGTTAAATGTATGATGTTGTTGCGGCTAGTTAAATTTATGATGTTGTTGGGGTTTAGTTAAGTTTATGATGTTGTTGGGGCTAGCTAAATTTATGATGTTGGGGCTAGCTAAATTTATGATGTTTTTGGGGCTAGTTAAATTTATGATGTTGTTGGGGTTTAGTTAATTTTATGATGTTGTTGGGGCTAGCTAAATTTATGATGTTGTTGAGGCTAGTTAAATTTATGATGTTGTTGCGGCTAGTTAAATTTATGATGTTGTTGGGGTTTAGTTAAGTTTATGATGCTGTTGCGCTAGCTAAATTTATGATGTTGTTGCGGCTAGTTAAATTTATGATGTTGTTGGGGTTTAGTTAAGTTTATGATGTTGTTGCTGTTAGTTAAATTTATGATGTTGTTGGGGTTTAGTTAAGTTTATGATGCTGTTGCGCTAGCTAAATTTATGACGTTGTTGGGGTTTTGTTCAGTTTATGATGTTGTTGGGTTTAGTTAAGTTTATGATGCTGTTGCGGCTAGTTAAATGTATGATGTTGTTGCGGCTAGTTAAATTTATGATGTTGTTGGGGTTTAGTTAAGTTTATGATGTTGTTGCGGCTAGTTAAATGTATAATGTTGTTGCGGCTAGTTAAATTTATGATGTTGTTGGGGTTTAGTTAAGTTTATGATGTTGTTGCGGCTAGTTAAATTTATGATGTTGTTGCGGCTAGCTAAGTTTATGATATTGTTGGGGTTTAGTTAAGTTTATGATGTTCTTGGGGCTAGTTAAATTTATGATGTTGTTGCGGCTAGTTAAATTTATGATGTTGTTGGGTTTAGTTAAGTTTATGATGTTGTTGGGGTTAAGTTAAGTTTATGATGTTTTTGGGGTTAGTTAAATTTATGATGTTGTTGGGGTTTAGTTAAGTTTATGATGTTGCTGCGGCTAGTTAAATTTATGATGTTGTTGGGGTTTAGTTAAGTTTATGATGTTGTTGCGGCTAGTTAAATGTATGATGTTGTTGGGGTTTAGTTAAGTTTATGATGTTCTTGGGGCTAGTTAAATTTATGATGTTGTTGCGGCTAGTTAAATTTATGATTTGTTGGGTTTAGTTAAGTTTATGATGTTGTTGGGGCTAGTTAAATGTATGATGTTGTTGGGGTTTAGTTAAGTTTATGATGTTCTTGGGGCTAGTTAAATTTATGATGTTGTTGCGACTAGTTAAATTTATGATGTTGTTGGGTTTAGTTAAGTTTATGATGTTGTTGGGGTTTAGTTAAGTTTATGATGTTGTTGCGGCTAGTTAAATTTATGATGTTGTTGGGTTTAGTTAAGTTTATGATGTTGTTGCGGCTAGTTAAATTTATGATGTTGTTGGGGTTTAGTTAAGTTTATGATGTTGTTGGGGTTTAGTTAAGTTTATGATGCTGTTGCGCTAGCTAAATTTATGATGTTGTTGGGGTTTAGTTAAGTTTATGATGTTGTTGGGTTTAGTTAAGTTTATGATGTTGTTGCGGCTAGCTAAATTTATGATGTTGTTGCGGCTAGTTAAATTTATGATGTTGTTGCGGCTAGTTAAATTTATGATGTTGTTGCGGCTAGTTAAATTTATGATGTTGTTGCGGCTAGTTAAATTTATGATGTTGTTCGGGGTTTAGTTAAGTTTATGATGTTGTTGGGGTTTAGTTAAATTTATGATGTTATAGGGGCTAGTTAAGTTTATGATGTTGTTGGGGTTTAGTTAAGTTTATGATGTTGTTGGGGTTTAGTTAAATTTATGATGTTATAGGGGCTAGTTAAGTTTATGATGTTGTTGGGGTTTAGTTAAGTTTATGATGTTGTTGGAGCTAGCGATTTGGCAATGTGTATTGTAGAAAAAAAATGCTACAAACACGAGTTTTAAAATCGGTGTACCCGGTGTTCAGTAAACACCTATCTGTAGGTGGGTTAAGATAACGCCTATCTGTAGGTGGGTTAAGATAACGCCTATCTGTAGGTGGGTTAAGATAACGCCTATCTGTAGGAGGGTTAAGATAACGCCTATCTGTAGGCACTCAGATTGTTTTAACCACATCGGTGACGTCTTCTCTCACCACTATTTTTCTCGCTCTCCCCGCCAGTGTGGGTATATTCCATGCACTGTTGCTGTTCCGCATCCAGAAAAAAAACCTACTCACCCTCTCTCGCGCGCTGGTACGTGGAAGGTGCCCAGCCACAACGCGAACTGAATGTAAATGCCAGGAAAACAAGCCAGGAGTGGGGGAGGGGGGGATTGTGTGGGATTGTGGGGATTCTTTGCTTTTACGCGTTTTTACGCCAGTCGTAGTCTACAACTGATGTTGAAATAAATTATGGATGTGTTGTAGAAAATCTAAACTTGAATTCCAAAAATTGATGTGCATAGATGATGTATATTTCAAAACAGATTCGCGTTTGAAGAAAGGTGTACAACGTGTGACTGTAGAATACTCACGATAATTTGATCACAATGAGCGCGTTTTAAACTTTGGTTTGCTGTAGGCCTGAGTTGTTTGTTGTGTTCATAGTGGACGTGATTTTCCTGAACAGTTGATGCGTGTTTCCCTTCATGTTCAGAAATACCTGTTGTTTAGTTGCGCTGTTCAACTTTGTGTTGTTTAGCATTAGGTGTTGGCGTTCTAGCATTAGGTGTTGGCGTTCAACTTTGTGTTGTTTAGCATTAGGTGTTGGCGTTCAACTTTGTGTTGTTTAGCATTAGGTGTTGGCGTTCTAGCATTAGGTGTTGGCGTTCAACTTTGTGTTGTTTAGCATTATGTGTTGGCGTTCTAGCATTAGGTGTTGGCGTTCAACTTTGTGTTGTTTAGCATTAGGTGTTGGCGTTCAACTTTGTGTTGTTTAGATTAGGTGTTGGCGTTCAACTTTGTGTTGTTTAGATTAGGTGTTGGCGTTCAACGTTGTGTTGTTTAGCATTATGTGTTGGCGTTCAACTTTGTGTTGTTTAGCATTAGCTGATGATGTTATATAACTGTAGT